AGAAATAAGTTACTTTTTCCTCTCTCCTTTCCTCCTGCTTCGCAGCAGGCGCTTTTCATGTCCGCAACTATCTGCGATACTGTGGTCACTTTCCATGTAGCATCAATTATGCTAATGCTAGCTGCCTGTCACGTTCTCTCGTCCTGGCCACACCTCCGCTCTCTAGCCCCACTTCCCCTACCCACTTTGATGCATTTTTCAAATTTCGCCTTGGGGSKGAGTTATCTTTTCACGGGGGGGTAAGATACACTTGAAGTGGGAGTGTCCGTAACAGTAGGAAGTTCTTACAGACACAAAGGCCAATTTCAAGGTGTTTAGGSTATGATGCAAAGTCAAATTTATCTTTGATATTTACAGCTTTTTCATAACAGCTGAAGGTAACATAGTTAATTTATTGTGGTATAAAAATGAACTATCTGCCTGGAAAATACCACAAACACCCCTCCCAAAAAAAAAAACAAAAAAAGAAAAAAAAGAAACTTCTGTTACATGGTTATAAATCTCTGTCTGAAAATTATCCTGCCATAATAACAACTGAATATGCATTTAAAGACACTGCAAAGGTTAGAAAATAAGCCTCACTTGAGCTGCTAYAAACATCTGAGTTGTTTTAAAAATCTACTTTGGAAGTGGGTTCRCTCAAACAAGCCATCGTTAGCTTAAATATATTTCGGGCTGGCCGACTTGAGCAGCAGATTTTGATATTTTAAAACAAGTCTTAGGTTTAAATTTTCAAAGCCGTTGAAATGCAAATGCCATCTAACAGACATTTACACTACTGTCAATTTGGAATTACACGATATTCTGTGACTTTTCTGCAGGAAGTAACCACAGACKGCTACAGAAATGCTACAGCTAGCTAGCAGCTGTAATTAGCCTTTGAAAATAACCACAGAAATTTACATAAATGATCACTATAACGTGTCRGTGTGTAACTGGTGGTGATTTAAAGGTTACTAAAAACAGTGTTCACATAAACAGCTGAAAACTTTGAAGGTGGGAGCCATTTAAATACATCAGCAACTCAGACTAGCCATTAGCTAATCAGTCCTGTCAGTTTCCCCAAAACTGAGATTTCTCAGAGAGCCATCTACTACAGGTAAGATATTAAATTGTTCATAACTTTTTGACAGAACTGCTTCAAAAAGACTGAACTGTCACTTTAAAGAAAGGCAGCCTTTTAACACAAACAAACTCCTGCTGCAGTAAACTGCATGACATGATTGATTTTAAGCTCACCTTGTACATGCTGTAACACTGCTTTACCACTGCACCATAAACTGTGTCCTAAAAATAAACACAAGATTGTTGCAGTTTGTAAAGCTGAAAATGCTCCAACTGAAGAAATCCACAAACGTTTCTCCAAACTCACAAGCATTTCCTCTTCCTGGTACTCAGCTGTGGGAGGTTTACCGTCTTTGTTTGGTTTCTCAATAATCGGGTTTCGGACCACCTGAGGAACACAAGAAATGCAGGGAGGAAAAAAAAAAGAAACAAACCAGGTGAGGCTAGATTACATTTTAATGACAGACTGAAAGAAAACTAGGACAAACGTGAGAAGTTCCAGTACCATGACAATCCAGAAATTTTCCTCAGGCTCAAAGAAAAACTGCCGGTTCTTCTGCGTGTGCAGAGATTTTGCTGGTTTTGTTGGACAGAATGTCCTGCAACAACAACAACAAAAAAACAAGGTTGCAAAGAAAGAGCACGCACACAAAGAGGTTCATCAGCAACTGTTTGCCCTGCTTTAGTGTTTATCTTGAGACATTTCCTATTCTTTCATACATTATTCTTCTAGTTTTTTCCCATACAAACAAAGAAAGCAATGCACCTAATGAGAGGTATAAATGAACTGACTAAAACAGTCAGTGGCACTTCGTCGTACCTGGTGAACTGTACGATGGCTTCACAAAGACCCACATTTCGAATCTTTTCATTCTTCTCAACTTCACTTGGGTGGTAAAACAGAATCTTTTTCTCTTCCTGTAGAAAAAAATACACATTTGCATTAGTCATCTCATTAAATCATGAAAGGGCTTTCCAAACTAGCATATAAATTACTATAAAAAAGTACAAATGAGCTCACCTCTCCTTCTCGTGGTCCAAATGTAGGGTTATAAATGAAAAAACTCAGAAGACATGGTGTGTACTGTTTCTCTTGCACCCCCGATGCCATTTTGGGACTGGTAATGACAAAGTAGATAAACAGATAAAAGCTACCCTTTCCAGTCAGTTCATACCAAAGTCAGCCACTTACCTAATCATGAGCATTAGTAAAACTTGTGTCTGGATTTCCTTTGTTTAATGATGGTCTGGTAAGCATGCCGTGTGCCTGTCGAATGCACAGACAAATATAGACATAATCATTTATTGCGGCTGCCTTACATATATTACAGCTTAAGTTTTCAAAATCTTTTATACCACATTTGCACACAGGTGAACAAGCATCTACAGATTACCCTGAATACAAATGCTACATATGTGTTTGACAATCTGACCTGTAGATTTAGATTACTGTCAAGACATAATCAGAAAAAGTACCATAATAAAAATCTAATCTAAATTTGAACGAGAGCTTATAATTTCATATATGACAAATCATGGTAATTTATACTGTAGTCATTAAAAACGCTCAACTCTTTATCTAGAACTTTGGTTTGTTTACGAAATTGTCTGACATTAATTTATTGAACTACAGTCGACTTCATGACTGAGTGGGAAGTCTCGCGAGTTTAGCTCCAACCCTTTGAGCGATTTAAACGCTGGTTAATTCTGCAAAATATATATAAAACCGAATTTAAACTCGCGAAAATAAAACGTAGGCGGTTTGGTTTATTTATATCCATTAACTGATGCTAAACCTAAAACCAGCGGACTCCCCAAATCAATTAGAACAACTAGCCGGCTAGCTGAGCAGCAGCATTAGCAAACATAAATTAAACCTTAGAGAGAGAAACTTGAGACTTACGAATAAAACAAACAACACGTCCAGCTGCTCTCTGTTAATGGCTTATTAAAGCTAAAAGGTATGGAAACGACTCAATAAAAGAAGATGCCGCGCGCATTGTAGCACTTTACATCTTTGACTTCCTGGTTTTGACAGCGCGGTGTCACACTCTTAATTGTTCGTGTTAAAAGGAGTCCAAACTGATGAAAGGTTCCCCCTAGCTCAACTTTAGTACCTAGTTTTGTTTACTTCGCTTTCTACTACTTTTTTACTATTTCTTTTACTACTACTACTACTACTACTACTACTACTACTACTACTACTACT